GGGGTGGGGGGACGGGTTAGCCTGGTGATGGGTATTAAAGGGGGCACATTCTGCGTGGAGCACTGGGTGTTATGCACAAACAATGAATCATGGAACACATCAAAAACTAATGATGTAATGTATGGTGATTAACATAACAAAAAATTATTTAAAAAAAAGAATAAAATATATTTTAAGCAGAAAAAAAAAAAAAGAATACATGGCTAGGGGCTTAATTTAGAAAAGTATTACCTGGAAATAGAGGGTCAGCCAGGATATAGGATGCAAGCAAAACCAGAGAGGTAGAAGATCAAGCACAGGCTTCTCCAACCTGCATGTCCCAGACAGTCCACACACCATCAACATCCACCAGGACCCACCCAAGCCACAGACTAGGAGAGTCGCTGCCCACAAGGAGCTTGGTGCAGGGCAGTGAGAGATGACCAGCAACAGGACTTGGTAAATGCAGTCACAAAAGGGACGCCCCCTCTCTGATGAGCAGGCTGGCAGGAGGATTGTGGTTTTAACCATATGAGTCGGTTTGCTTTGCCAAAGGACAAAAAATATGCTAGCCACAGCCTCCTAACCAGAGCCACAGCTAAGTCTTTGCCACCAAATAAGCCCGAACAACAGTCATAAAGAGACCCCTGAGTCCAGGTACACACACACGTACACACTGACCCCCAACACCGGCCACAGAAGGGCGCCAACCCCACTGTGAGCCTTCAGGGTGACCCCTCATATCTTCCTCTGAGTCCTCAGCTCTGACCTTGGCCTTGGGGCTTTGGACAGGAAAGCCACCCAATAGGTTGCTGCTCTGCTCTGAGCCTGCCCAGAGTTCCAGTCAGGCCAGCCTTACCCCCGACAGCCCGGCGGGCCCTGTGCCGGCCAGAACAGAGTAGACTCGGGTACCCAGTGGACGGTCATAAATAATGGTTTGAAAGAATCCCTGTGTTAACTAACAATCTCTTACTTATTCTGCAGATTCCTGACCAGCACCCCTTCCTCCTATATCCACGCACCGTCCTGGCTCCCTCCTTTCAACATTTCCACTCACTCCTCAGCCCACCCCCATCTGCTGCCCCCTCTTCCCTCCCCAGAACGGTTACCAGGCCGCGGCGCACTCCGCACCATACTTGGCCCCTCAGCCGCAGCTGACACGGCTGCCCGGTCTCCCTTCGAGAAATGCTCCTCCCACCCAGTCTCCAGCCTCGCCCACATCACCCTCTGCCCCTCAGGGAGCCCCTCAGGGTGCCACCCCAGGAATCTCTCCTCTTCTCACTCCACCCTCTCCTGGAGTGCTCACTGCCCCTGGCCCAGCCCTCCACCCCAAGCTTTAACGCCCACCTCTAGAAGAATGGCTCGATTACTACCTCCAGTGCGTACCCTCTTCTGAGTCTGGCCCCCAAATACTCAGCAGCTCACTGACACCCCTATTTGTGTCTCAAGCACGCACACCAAGGCACTTACAACTTCAGCCCTCATCCTCCCTTGGGGTCCCCCATCTCAAAGAACAGCTGTACCATTTACCGGTGGTTCCAAACCCAGGGCCACTCTTGCCTCCTACCTCTCCCCAAATCCTCCTATCTCATTAGTCTACCTCCTAAGACATCAGAGCTCTGACCACTTCCAAACAAGCGCATAGACCCCTCAGAGTCAGGCCACCATTGTCCCCTCCCCACCCCTGCACCGGACCCCCTCAGTGACCTCCCAACCCCTCCCTCACTTTCCACTCTGCACCTCCCACAAACTCTCCACCCAAGAGCCAGGGTGAGTTTTTCCAAAAGTCCCTTCATTTGGCTACTGCTCTGACTAAAATCTTCAAAGACAACAATGCCCTTAGTTAGGATAAAGTCCAAAATCTTTAACAAAACTTCTAAGGGTGTAGGTGGAAGGGATGGGCAGAGTGGGTGCAGGGGACCAGGGGGCACGGGCTTCCAGTTCTGGAAGGACGAAGGCACGGGGTAAAAGGCCGAGCACAGGGAAGAGAGTCAGTGATACTGTAACAGCGGTGTTCTGTGACAGATGGCAGCTACACTGGGGCGAGCGGAGCAGAACGTACAGACTTGTCCAGTCACTGTGTTGTACACCGGAAACTAATGTAACATTGTGTCAACTGTACTTCCACGTAAAAAAAATGTTCTCAGATTAAATTTTTTAAAAAGTAAAAAATAGGGGCGCCTGGGTGGCTCAGTCGTTAAGCGTCTGCCTTCGGCTCAGGTCATGATCCCAGGGTCCTGGAATCAAGCCCCGCATCGGTCTCCCTGCTCGGCAGGAAGCCTGCTTCTCCCTCTGCCTCTGCCCCTGCTCGTGTTCCCTCTCACTCTGTCTCTCTCTCTCTCTCTCTCTCTGTCAAATAAATAAATAAAATCTTAAAAAAAAATAAAAAGTAAAAAATAAGGGGTGCCTGGGTGGCTCAGTCGTTAAGCGTCTGCCTCCTCTCTCTTGCTCCAGGGGCTCACGGAGCCTGCAGCACTATGTCTGTGTACCTATCCCGAGATTCTGCCCTTCTAAGGAGCTCCCAAATGATGCAGGGCCTGCTGGTCCCTTGGCCTCCCTTTGAGTAGAAAGCATCTAGAACACTCTCGTCCACCCTGACTGCACCTTTGCCAACAAGGTCCTACTCAACTGCCAGAGCTCAGCTTCCACATCATTTCCTAAGAAGTCCTGCCTGACTCTCTCCAAGGTTAGGTTCAATTCCCGCACACACACCCCTTATATTGTCCCTGAGCTATGCTGTGCTTCTCCTTTGGAACGTTCATCACACCTAACTGTCCATCCTTCATCTTCAAGTTAGTTATTCAACTTTCACCCCCCGCCCGCCCCCCCCAGCTAGATGACAAGCTCCAGGACAGCAGGGACCATGACACCATGTTCACTCAGCACCGGGCCTGGCACAGGGCCAGCACTTGTGGTAGAAAGCTGTTTGTACCTGCCCTGCATCCATCTCCCCATCTTCTTCTCCTAATGACACCTCAATGTTCCTTTGAGGAACCACCCCTCTCCCACTCTCAGTTCTTTGGGCTTAGATAAGTGGGCCTGAGACCAGGTGTGGCCAATCAGAGCCCCCACCTCTCTGGCCACAATGACTGCTTCAGGACTAGGCAGGTGGACGATGGACTCTGAAAAACAAACTGAGGGTTCTAGAGGGGAGGGGGTGGGGGGATGGGTTAGCCTGGTGATGGGTATTAAAGAGGGCACGTTCTGCGTTATGCACAAACAATGAATCATGGAACACTACATCACAAACTAATGATGTAATGTATGGTGATTAACATAACAAGAAAAAATTTAAAGAAAAAATTTCAAAAAAAAAAAAAAGAAGAAGAAGTACTGGGGGAAAGATACTCTTCTTTCCACTGAAGTTACTTAGCAGGTAGGAGCTACTGTCACCCTCTTGCCACCACAGAGACAGAGCTTGACAAAGAATGAAACCAACACAGAAGAGAGATGGGAAGAGACAGATCTCATAGATGTAGCCATGCCTAGAGTCTACACTTGCCATTACAAAGCAATAAATTCTGTTCTATGCTTCAGCCAAAGTGAGTTATGTTTCCGTCACTTATAACCAAGAGTCCTGACGAATACAACATTCAAGCAAGTACTGGCTGTTGAATGAAATAATTGAGCATGTGGGTAAGGGAAGCCTGCCAAGAGAACTCAGTGACTCCTCCTAGGAGACTTCCAGGGTTCTCCCTGCAAACTCCCACCACCCATGAGCACAGTGACAAGCATCCCACATCCAACTCTGCAGACCAAGGGGCTGAAACGCAGAATGGTGACGTGCTTCTCAGCATTACCCTCTGCAAACAAACCACCCAGCACCTGGCTCAGGTGCCTGCACTGGGGTTAGGCTGATGGAGGTGCTCTGCCTTTCAATGCCCCTGGATACTCCACCAGGAGGAAAGCAGAGCTGTCCACGGTCAGCCCTGCGCCCCACCAACTCCTGAACTCCTAATCCAACCAGGGCAGGCTCTGGCTGTCATTCCATGATATTCCCCCTTGATGCACACCACACAACTCTCTGCACGGTGGGCATTCAATATGGGATAACGGAAAGGTGGCTTTTATCTAATTCCTTTGGGGGGGGATCATTTTCCAACAGACCAGATGAGGAGAGTGGGGGTACAACAGAGAGCAAGAGGGGAGAGATGCATAATTATTTCCCTGTGAGTCATCTCCTAGCAAAGCCCCAGGACAGAGATGGAGGGTGGCCTAGATGTCCCCTCAGATGACTCAAGAAGCTAGTCCTCACCTGGCACACTGTGAGAGGGAAGGAGGGAGGGAGGGAAGGAGCATCATGCATTGCTGCCTAGGCAGGAATACTGGCTGAGCTAAAGTCCTCCCTGAGAGCCAGCTCGGGCCTTTGACCATCCTGTCAGGGGGGCACTGATAGCTGAAGGGAGCTATCAGTGGGGGGAGGGTGCAGTTGCCTCAGCTCCTTTCCAGGAATGAGCAGGCTGGGCCCAGGGTTCTGGGAGGTAGTCTCCCAGGAAGGAGACTTGTGAACGAAGTGCTAATAGGAAAGATTTACTGACCCCCAGAAGCTCCAGAGCAAGTCTCCCACACGGATTGGAGTGACAGGGCCAGCCCAGGGGGGCCAGAGGCAGGTAGCGCAGCATGCAAGTGCCACCCAAGTCCCAGGAGGGTGCCGCCCCACAGGACCCGCCTTCCCCAACCCCGGCACCAGGCAGCCCTCCTGGGCAGTAGCCCCTTAAAAAAAAAAAAAAAAAAGACACCAGGCCGCAATCCCTTCTCAGCCTTTTGGCTAAGACCAAGTGAAGACAGCAGGCTGCACTCTGAGTGTCCTCACTCCCTCCTGCCTGGGCCCCTTGTGCTCGACCCCACAGCCCCCCAAGGCCTCATTCGGCCTCTGACACCCCCAAGCCTCAGTCACACTGTCCTCCTGCACTGGTGAGCTAAGGTAGACCCTGCCTCCTGAGGTGTCGGGGCACTCTGTGGCACCCACTGGCCAAAAGGACAGCCACCGCCCCCCCACTGCCCAACTCTAGGCCTCTTACCTTCATAGTGGGAGGTGCAGTGAGAGGGGGGGACAGCGGCCGGTCTGGGAAGGTCACGTCCGGGCTGTTGGCCAGCTCCTGCTTCCTGTGAAGAGGCCACAGAATATGGAAGAGGTCAGAGGTCAGTGAGGGCCTGCCTAGCCATCGCCTCTCCCCGCCTACAGGAGTGGGCACGGGGACACACGCTCTAACACACATCGTGCGACACCAGACTGTACTGCACTCTCTGCTGGGGTGTTCTACACTTTATTTTGTTTCATTTTAAAACCTAGCACAGTCCAGGGGTGCCTGGGTGGCTCAGTCGTTAAGCATCTGCCTTCGGCTCAGGTCATGATCCCAGGGTCCCGGTATCGAGCCCCACATTGGGCTCCCTCCTCTGCGGGAAGCCTGCTTCTCCCTCTCCCACTCCCCCTGCTTGTGTTCCCTCTCTCGCTGTGTCTCTCTCTGTGTCAAATAAATAAATAAAATCTTTAAAAAAAAACAAAAGCATAGCACAGTCCAGTGTAGTCAGAAAATACCTTTTATTTTTTTTAAGATTTTATTTATTCATTCGAGAGAAAGACAGAGAGAGTGAATGAGAGAGAGAGAGAGAGAGAGAGAACACGAGCAGGGTGAGGGAGGCAGAGGGAGAAGCAGGCTCCCCGCTGAGCAGGGAGCCCAATGTGGGGCTCGATCCCAGGACCCCAGGATTGTGACCTGAGCTGAAGGCAAACACTTAACTGACTGAGCCACCCAGGCACCCTTATTTCATTTTTTGTTTATTTATTTGAGGGAGAGAGAGTGTGTGTGCAAGCAGAGGCAGGGGCAGAGGGAGAGGGAGAGAGAATCTCCAGCAGACTCCCCGCTGAGCGCAGAGCCAGACCTGGGGCTCGATCTCACAACCCTGAGATCATGACCTGAGCCAAAATCAAGAGTTGAACGCCTAATCGACTGAGCCCCCTGGGGCTATTCCACATGCAGTTCCTGTACCAGCCACATCAGCATCACCTGGGAACTTGTGAGAAATGCAAATGCTCAGGTGCACACCAGAGTCTCAGCCGTGGGGCCTAGGAATCTGGGTTTTACAATCCCTCCAGCTGCTTCTGATGCACAGTGCAGTCTGAGAACCGCCGCTCTAAAGACAGGGGACCCACAACAGCCACAGGCCTCAGGGGCGCGGACAAATGTTGAAAGGCATCAAAATAAGCGTAACTGTTTTACCGCAGTGACACAGTGGAAAATAATTAGGCCCTGAAACTGTAGCAGTTACCATTTATCTTTAAGCATTTTCATTTGTCAAAATTATAGAGGTTACTAAAATACAGCTATACATTCGGTAGATGTATTTCGAAATACATTTGAATTCAGGACCAAAAAAAAAAAAGAGACAGAAGAGGGATATAAGCGTTTGTGAGTCATCCTTCCTGGCTCCCCTTTGCCCCTATGAGCGCGCACACGCACACGCGCATACCCCGTGGCCGGAGAGCCGACCTTGAGAGGATGGGGCTGCCTGCTGTGTAAGCTGCAGGTAGGACTTATTTTAGTCCATGTGGGCTAGGACCGTGGAGAAGCAGCTCAACAGAGTCGTGTCACCATGACAACATGACAGCAACAAGTTCACTGCTCTCACATTCTCCCCACTTTCCATCTGGCCCTCGCTGGTGACCAGGCAGTGCTAGCTTGCAGTCCGATCACCAGGCAGGATGCTGGCAGTGAGATAAGCCTTTGGAGCAATGGTTACGCAACAGGGCCAGCTGGGCAGAACTTGGGGGAGCCCCAGACAAGGGCCTCTGGTGTCCTGGACATGCCCTGGCTATCTCCTGGGACAGCAGGGAGAGGCGAGGGTAACAGTATCAAGAGCCCAAGACCAGGCTGAGCCGCCAAGGCTCCGAACTTTGCAACTGCTTCCTTCTCCAAAGCCCCACCCTGAAGCAGCCGAGTCAGTCTGACACCTGGGTCCTATTTCAATGTCCAAAGGACCCCCACTGCCACCTCAAGAGAATGCTTCTATACTTTCTAGCCCACATCTTGCCAACAGGAATGACAAGCCCAACCCCAGGCCTCCTTCATGAGAGAAGCCCACCCTCCCTACAGAGCCCCGCCCTCTGCCTTTCCAGAAGAAGCCCTTGCCCTGAGAGCCAGACACCACCCCAGCCTGGCTCCCCTTAGCCCACAGGGCAGCCCAACCTGAAAGAAACCAGACCAGATGCTGTGGGGCCCTGCGTACCCTGGCATGACCCTTGCCTACCCCTGCAGCGGACCATGCCTCATTGTCCTCTAGGCAACCAGGTAAGGAGGCTGCGTGAACATCTGGCTTCGAAGAGGATCCATATGACCCCCATTAACCTCAACCTGCCAATCCCCCTTTTTGATCCTCCATCTGTCTTTTTCTTCATGTCTTCCTGGACCTAGCTCTCATGCAGGGCGGGGAAGAGGGGGGTACCCCCCTCTGGGTCCAGACTATAACTCGCACAAGAACCAGCAGGGCCACGACTCATGCAGATGTGCACACACTCACACACAAAGGAATGAATGAGGCTCCTTCTACCTCTTAGTCGAGAGCCACCACCTCCCCTTCCATTGATGGCCCTGGGCCAGTGCAGGGTCCAGCCGAGCTGTTCTGGCCCTCTCCTGCCTGTGGACCCCATGGAGCTGGATCCCAGCACAGGCTCGCCCCCTCCGGCCACTCGGCCCTCTCCCAAGCAGATACTGCTCCCCGTCAACGGGCCAGTCCCTGAGAGCCATGATAAGGGAAAGGGAGGGGTGGAAGGATGAGCAGGGATGGGGGCACCACCCTCAGGTCCCCTGAGGTGAGGATGGATGAGGACAGCTCCCCTCAGAGGCCGGGAGCCAAGGAGAAAGAAGCAGGCAGGGAGAGGGCAGGAGGCAAGCCCCCTGCCCAAAGTCTACAGGATGAGAGCTGTGGCACACTTGCCTGACCGCAGTCCTGATTTGTAGGGACACGAATCCTAGAGGAGGGCAATGTTGGCAGATTTTTTTTTTTTAAAGATTTTATTTATTTATTCATGAAAGACAGAGAGAGAGAGAGAGAGAGAGAGAGGCAGAGGGAGAAGCAGGCTCCCAAGGAGCAGGGAGCGCGACGCGGGACTCGATCCCAGGACGCTGGGATCATGACCTGAGCTGAAGGCAGACGCCCAACCATCTGAGCCACCCAGGCGCCCCGGCAGATTTTTACTATCACTGGTGTAGGGACGCTCATACACAGAGTCACGCTGTCTGCTTCTGGCCATAAGGTGCAAGATGTCCACTCCCATGGGACCAAAGCAGATGCGATTACTAGCCAAGGCCCCTGAGTCTCAGGCAAAGGGCCCCGCACCCAACCCCTCCTAGGCTGAGCCCCGCTTCCCTGCACCAGCCTGTTTTCCCTGGATGCCGGCATAAGCTCCTGGGACCAGTCACCAGAGAGTGGTGAGGACAATTCAGTGGGGGCACAAGGTGTCTTCCAGCCAGAAGGATTTCCGGATTGGTGTCTGGAGCCTGGAAGGTACTGCAGCAGGAATGAGCACCAGTGGCTAGTGGCTTCGTGCTTGTTCTAGGGCTCTGGCCAAGACTCCAGATGGGGTGCCAGGGTGGACAGAAGGCAAGACTGCTGCCCTCGAAAACAGCAGGACTCAGTACACATGGGCCCTTGGTCACAGACCTACCCCGCCTTGGTACACCGATGGCTTTGAGGGGCACCTGTGGGAGGGGACAGGACACACTGCTCCAACCCCATTCTCAACTCCTAGAAGTCAAAGGTACTTAATTAAGAGCCAACTGCCTATTATGAATCATGTCCCCAAAAAAGATAGTTGAAGTCCTAACCTCCAGTACCCGTGAATATGTCCTTACTAGGAGATGTAATCAAGTTAAGAGGCCGTTAAGGTTGCCCCTCAATTCGATTTGACTGGTGCCTTTGTCATCAGAGGACCAAAAACAAAGACAACAGAACCCCCCGCTCGCGCCTCACCACCCCTGCCATGGTCAGCTGGGCTCCACCACGTCCTGCCCCCGCCCTTACAACCTTCGTGTGCGGGAGCCACCTTCCCAGGGACAGCCAGGCCCAGCCGGGCCACCAGCTGGTGTGAAGACAGAGGAAGAACTGGGGGGCTCAGTGCCACTCCAGCCCTTTCTCAAGCAAACAAATCACACACGAGTAGGTGAAAGTGACATGATTATACCAAGAAATAACCTTGAATCTGCTCTCATTTATTATAAGCAAAAGGTAAATTATTAGCAGAGGTGGTATCCTTACTATTATTTGTAACAACTTTCTTGTGACCCACAGCGGTCTTGACATTGTCACGGCACGGAGTCTGAAACTACCTCTCCAACCAGGCCGGCCAAATGCTCACACATAGCTCCAACGACGTGGGGTCCCAGAGCCACACAGGGACCCACGGGATGAGGGAGAAATGGGAATGGAGAGAAGGCAGAGAGGGAGGAGGAAGAGCATACACTCTGCTCGGAGAGAAAGGGGATAAGCATGGACACAAAGGGGCAGGTCAGCGGCCCCCTCCAGCCTCTGCGGGTCATGGGGGTGCGACCCACTCAGCATCCCTCTGCCCCAGAGCCACCTAACACTGAGATTCTCTGCTCTGGGATTCCTTCCCAGGAAGCATGGGCAAACCTGGGGCAGCTGGGAGAGGGCCTAGCTGGCTTTAGCCAAATGCAGATCTTGAGAGGAAATGATCAAGGAGCCTGTGGAGGAAGCTGAGAAAGCCAGGGGATGGTTCACCCAGACGGGACTGTTCACTCCCCCCCCAGGCGAGGGCCCTACCTACAGCACCCAAGCCTTCTAGCTCCTTCTGTCCAGCCTCAGATTTCCCTGCCCTAGACCATCTGAGGTCATCTCCTCCCCACTTCCATGAAAGTGCCCTACACTAGGGATCAAGAGACTCCCAGGTTCCAGTCTGGCTCTACCTGCTACCTCACTGTGTGCCCTTGGGTAAGTCACCTCACCTCTCTGTGTCCCACTTCCTTCATCTGCAAAGATGGGGGTGATGATGTTCCGAGGAATTAAATGTCATGGCTGTGAAATAAAACATAAAGTCCTATACAAATATAGACCATTATTATTATTATCACCTTTATTGTTACTATAAC